GAATATTGGCATCTGGTAGCGCTAATTTGGAATTTGTTTTATTGACTATTTCACATTTTGTAACGAATTTTTGATTAGCAAACTCGACGATTTCAAGGCGGGAGTTGGCAACACTGTACGAAGGGGAAAAAAAAAAAAAAAAAAGGACATTTGTATCTCCAGCGCGCAAGACCAGAAATTCTAAAGAAAGGATCATTTTAAAATTATTTTGCGATATTGCTGTTAAACCAAACTGTTGCCACCAAATATTACAGCCCTGTATTATATTTAAAGAAATTAAATAACAAAGAATCTGCATAAATGTAAGCATGTTTTTGCATTGTGATAAAAGAAAGTAATAGAACCTAGAGCCATCAAATTTTGAATAATGTAATTCTCCAACGAATATGGGCGTCTGGAAGCCCTGATTTGGAATTGGTTTTATTATCTATTTCATATTTTGTTACACTGTAACGAATTTTTGATTAACAAAATCAATGATTTAAAAGCCAGCAATGGCAACATTGTACGAAAAAAAACATTTTTGTCCCTAAGGACTGTATATCTAAACTTTTAAAGATATGCTCAGTTAAAAATTATTTTGCGGTACTGCTGTGGAACTGAATTTTGTGGTTTAAATGGAAGAACAGGATATTTAATAAATAAAGGTAACACACAAAACGTTAAAGAAACACCCCTTTGGACGTAGTTTAAAATCTAAAGCCCTTGAGATTTAGTATTTTTTTACTTTATTTATTTATTTATTTTGGCAGATTTCTTAAATCATTAAAGTTTTATACGATGCATTTACAAAGTTTTTGGACTGAATCCGAAATTTAAGATATTATTGCGTGCGTGCGCGTTTGTAATAGATTGAATGCACAAGTCCGATAAAAAGTTAATAAAATTTATTCTTATCACAAGAAATGTAAAAAAAAAAAAAAAAACGCTAGATTTTTCCTCAAAGATATTCGTACAATATCACAATATCACAGTAGTTATACACTCATGTCCATAAATTAAGGATAATTTAGAGTCACGCGGAAATCGAACTCTAAAATAAATATATCACCTGTAAAATCACTACACACATCTTCAAGAATCATATGCAAATTTCAGGAAGTAACCAGATGACACCGATGGTACGTCACAATGACGAGACTGTAAGAGAGTGATATACAAGGAATACAGGCAAAGAAGTAAAATTGTTCGCAGGCGCTTTATAAGCATTTCAGTGCAATAACCGAATAGTTTATGACACAAAGGACGCATTTGGGATGATTTTTTACGTGGTAGAATTATCGGCCGTCTGGAATGTGGGCGTACCCAACTGGAAGTATCAGACGAACTTGGAATTGCCCAGAGTGTCATCTCCAGGCTTTGGCAACGATTCCAAGATGATGGTAATGTGAGTAGACGTTACAGCACAGGTCGCCCCAGAGTTACAACGCCGAATGAGGACCGGTATTTGGCAGTTACTGCCAAAAGAAACAGGCGGAGCACAGCCTCAGACCTGTCTCGTCAGCTCTCTTCAGCCACTGGTACGACAATTTCAAGGCAGACCGTGTACAGACGCTTAGGGCAGATTGGTATATGCTCGTAGACCTGTCAGATGCGTTCCACTTACTGCAACTCACTGTCGCCTGCGGTTAGCCTGGAGTAGAGAGCATGCATTGTGGACACCGCAACAGTGGGCTTGTGTGATGTTTTCCGACGAGTCCAGGTTTAGCTTGCAGTCTGATTCTCGCCGGACTTTCATATGGAGAGCTCCAGGTACCCGTTACCACCAAGAAAACATCATTGAACGACACCGTTACGGTGGTGCAGGAGTGCTCGTTTGGGGTGGAATTATTCTGGGTTCCAGAACTGACCTTGCATGTTCAAATTGGAACCATGACAAGCCAAATCTATCGGGACGTCATTCTGGAACAACATGTACGTTTGTTTCGGGGCGCCATGGGCGCACAATTTGTGTTTATGGATGACAACGCCCGTCCTCACCGTGCAAACATCGTAAGCGAATGCCTTCAATCGGAGGATATCACCCGTATGGACTGGCCAGCATTCTCACCGGACTTGAATCCAGTAGAGCACGTGTGGGACATGCTTGGCCGACGAGTTGCAGCCCGTCAACCTCCTCCTACATGTCTACCGGAACTTCGGAGAGCATTGCTTTTTGAGTGGTGTAATATTCCCCAAGATCAGATCGATAATTTTATACTCAGCATGCCTAGGCGGACTGTATTGCGTCGTCTGACAGACATACAATGTATTAACAATCATACCAACCCTAAAATATTGGTTTTTTGTAAATAGGTTTTTTTTTTGTAATTTACTCCAGGGAGAAAAAATCGCTAATTTTTTTAATAATATCAAACATATAGCATCTTTTTTTTTTTTGCTCTTTACCTTTTGTTTAATAAATAAGCTTTACAAATAAGTCAAATTTGTTTTGCTTCTAACTCTTGCTTTGCCTGATTTTTGCATTATCCTTAATTTATGGACATGAGTGTATTTTAAACTACGAAAACGTTAAATAGAACACAATCCAAAACGAAGAGAAAGCTAATCCGATTTCAGAATTACAGCAGCTAAGTAAACAACAACAACTCAGTAAAGAACTGAACTGAGATTTGTTAATCTTCGGCTTTTTAAAGCTCGGGCGGGAGAATGTTCTGGCAATTTCCGTTTTCTTGATATTTCTGGAAAGCAAAAGGTTAGAATTACGGTCATAGATAACACAGTAGTCAATTACATTTATTCAGTTTAAATATAAATTACGAGATATCTATTTATTAAATGCGCGTGTTCCTGTATTTTTACTTTTTCAGCTTAGCTTTTTCTTAAATCTTGTCACGCGCTGGATTGCACGGGGAGAGAAAACAATTTTAATTACAAAAATTCTACAAAAATAAATAAATAAATAAATAAATAAAATAAAAATAGCTAACTAAATGCAAAATCCCTAACAATATCTAAGGGAAATATCACGTTTCAGTTTCCTACATACGATCCATCTAATGCTTTAAACCTCACAGGGTTACATTCATTGTGTTCATGCAGATCTGTACTCAGGGGGAAAATTATCGTGAGTTGGGGAAGATCCTATTCGACGCTGTGCTCCCAATGGGTTTCTTTTAATGCTCAGTTATATGTTCTAGAATGTTCAGATGAATTAGTCGAGTTTCCTGAAAGGACATTACATTTCTGACTTTTATTATTATAGTAAAGTAATTGATAAAATGACTGCAGCTCAGCTTATTCATTCGCCCAAACGATCGATGCGAGTGATATTTTTAATGATTCCCGTTCATAAGAGTAGATCATTTTCATTTTTACTTCCTTGTACGAAGTAAAAAGGAGTATTGTAATCACGAAAAGTTTCAGGCAGCATATTTCAACGAAAATATCCATTTTGACCGCTATCGAATTCAATATAACGATGTTTTGCGTGATCTGATAGTAAGGACAGAATAAAAGACTCGTTCCTCCCAAAATATTATAAAACTGCCTTTAAAATGAATTCTGAAGAGAATTTTCGTGGCGTCTGTACGAACGTATGTACGTACGTATCTCGCAACTCAAACCGAGTAGTTCAGAACGTTGAAATTTTGTATATAGGACTGCTGTAATATGTAGATGAGCACCTGTATTGGGTTGCAATCGCCGCCAAAAAGTATATAAATATATTTATATATATATCCACTCTGTACCCGGTCGGTGATCTCAGTTTCTTTACTCATATATTGTAAATGTACATTTTTGCTTTAAAATGATTGAATTATGTTTTTTTATCTTCCGTTTAAGGTTTTATGCCTTAGTAAATTAAATCTGTGCAATATTTTAGAATATTCAACAATTTTAAAGTTAAGTGCCGCTAAGAATAATAATTTTCTTGATGGCGGCCAGTGCTTGTTTACTTGAAACAGCAGGATATTGGATTTGTTGCAATCGAGAAAACTTAGCTTCGCAACAAAGTTAACGCCTTTTATTATTGTGAATTAAATCATGCTTAATCCTTTCTGGAATTTTTTCGAGGAAATAGTGTTTAAGATTTACTTAATTTTAATAATGATATATTTAATACAATTATTTGAGTTTTATTATTTTTGCATTGTCGCGAGTGAGAATGAATAATTGAATGAGAAATACTGAATGTCGTGAAAAACTGTTTCTTTTTGTTTTTTTGCTTCATTTCTCTTATAATCGTTCTAGCTTTATTAAGTACTTGATAGAACATGTGGCGGCGATTAGATAATTCTTAAATGATATAAATGTGTGATTGAGTTTAATATGAACGAAATATATAGGTGTGGAACCTGCGCCAGAGTGTCCTTGTTAAACAAATAGAGTAATTTTAAAGAAGGCATTATTCTATGGGTTTTTGCGCGCGGCGAAGTAGATTTAATAAATCCAATAAGTTTAAACGAAATGCAAGAAAAAATGCGTATAATTCAATATTCCATACAAGGAAGTGATGTGGTGTTCGCATCAGATTTTTAATATGTAATATATTGCGTACGTTTTATAAGTGAATTTTCTGACCTTTAAATATTATTTTAACCTATCTCTTAAAAGTGTTAATGTAAGCAATATTTTGGAGTTTCTTCTTGACTGCTCAATTTTTTTCCTTAACAAACCTTGAATATCAGCTCGAATTCTTCAGCGCTCGATACAGAGTGACTGCTTCTACAAATAAAGCTCTGCTTTTCAAAAAATCTGAGGGTGAATGACATTCTGAGTCGATATACCTAACTCGTATATGAAGTTCAGCCAAAGGAAGCTAGCTGGCTTCCCATCTTTTGAAACGAACCTTCAGGTTTCTTTTTCGCTTTATCACCTTGCAAATTTGTCACTGTCAACGATAGATACCCGGCAGAAATTGAAAAGAAGTCCAAAGAATTATTATTTTATTTTTTGCCCGTATATATATCTTGTTTTTCCTCGATTCATAGAACGTTACTTTAAAATAGAACCTACATCAGAGTGTTTGGTATAGATGGTGTTATTCTTACGGGCCAATGGCAAGCTGTGCATTTATTACAGCCTTTCAGAATTATGGCATATCGTTAGACAGGTTTGTTAAAGCAGTATTCGATTTTGAGGACATTAACTATTCAATTTTTTTTCTTCCTTTTGAAGCTGATGTTATGTTGCACACACACATGCACAAAAAATAAATAAATCACAAACTACATCAAATGTTTGCAAAGTTTCCAGTCGTTTTTAAAAATGCTGTCCTATCGGCATATAAATATTTTTCGAGCGGAGAAAAATGTTGCCTGTGATATTATTAATCTTCATACTTGTCTATTCAACTTGTCAGGCTGTTGTGAGAGATTGAAAATTTGCGTTGGTTTTGCCTGGGTTATTAGTCCAAAGGGATTTGAATCCCGAAGGACTATTAGTTTCGTTTTGGCATTTTGCGTCGGACTCATAAATGTCGGTTCACTTTCAAACTGTGCCACAAACGTTAGAGTCCTGCATTATATTGAAGACGAATTAAATTAATGAAAATCTGCATAAATGTATGTATATTTTCGTATGTGATAAAACAACCGGTACATAGAGTCATGAATTTGAATAAAGTAATCCTCACGAATATGACCATGTGGAAGACCCAATTTGAAATTGAATTTGTTTTATGATCGATTTCCTATTTTTAAAACTTGACAATTTTTTGATTAACAAAATCAGGACTTCAATTGAGCAATGGCAACGTGTGCAGAAAAAACATTTTTAGCTCCAGGCGGAGTTCTGATCGAAATTTTAAAGTAGGCTGTTTTTAAAACTATTTTGCGATATCAGTGGCACTGGATATTATTGTTAAGTGCGGGGAACATGATATTAGAAAGAAAGGTAAAACACAAAACGTTAAAAACCGCCCCTTTGGACGTTAATGTTTAAAATCTGAAACATTTCAGACAGATTTTTTTTTTTTTTTTTTTTTTTTTTTTTTTTTTTTTTTTTTTTTTTTTTTTTTTTTTTTGTTTTGTTTTGTTTTTTGTTTTTTTTTTTAGTTTTCCCGAGGTTTGTCGCTATTGTTGGATGTATCCTAAACAGAGGAAAAAGTTTCAGATACTGGACATTCGATAAAAGATAAGCGTAGAAATAACTCTGAATTTATAATTTTTATTTTGCTGTGTGTCTGAGTATAATACCGCGCTATGATGTTTCAATAAAAATAATATACAAATTATGTGAGATCGCAGCAAAGTCTCTTGTATTACTTTTACCCTTGTATGAGGTGAAAAGGAAGTATTGTAATAGCCAAAAATTTTGCGTATCATGTTTCAAAGAATATACAGGGTGTTTATAAAGTCCCGGACCCATTTAGATGTTTAATAACTCATAAAATAAAAAACGATAGATTAAAATTAAGAACATAAAAGGTTAGATAGACTCAAAAAGTTTCATGACCCATGTCAATGAACGCCCACGTGTGCCCCCTTCGTCGCACGGAGAATATCAAGTCGATATTCAATTTCACGCCAGGTACCGGCAAGCATGTCGGCATCCACAGAGGCTCAATGTTCGACAACGTTGTCCTTTAGGAGAAAGTCCATAACATTGCAATAGTTGCCAAAAACAAAAGAGAGAAAAATGCAATTCATAAGCAGACGATATTTAGAAAAGTATAGATATTTAGACTGGAAAAATGAAATTATCTGAAATTTCTTTATTCTTATATGTTGGGAAATCGTGCTTTTTTTGCTTTAAAAATAATTGAATTATGTGGTTCTTATTTTCCGGTTGAGGTTTTCATGCCTTTAGTTAACCTGCATGCTATAGCTGTAGAATTATCAACAAGTTGTTTAAGTCCTAATATTTTTATCGTAGCAGCCATATTTGTGTACATTTGAAACTTAGCACAATAGTGGATTTGATGCCAATCTAGAGAAACTAGGCTTCGCAACAAAAAAGTATTTTATTATTGCGAATTAAATTATTGTTATTCCATTCTGTAATTATCATTTAAGTTATTAAATTATCCCATTAATTGACTCATAATAGCGTCCAGAACAAATTAAGTCAGTTTCTACTCCTTCAGGGTCTTTTTGCCGAGGGAGACCAAAAGTAAACTTTCTGTTTTGTACCTCGTAAATTCTGCCTTCTTACTCGCTACCGAATAGCTTGCTTTCCCATAGAAACTCTAATTTTAATTGTAAAAACTGTTCTTTAAACTGTTTTAACTGTATTTTTATTATATATATTCCCATATCTTTCAATTTTTAATATAGATATTTCGAGTTTTTATGTATTTTCGCCTTGTCGCCAAGTGAGAATTGATTTAATTGAATGAGAAATATATCTATAATTAAATTCGAGGAAATAAGTTTAAATGAAAGCAAAGCAGGGAAAAATGCGTAGGATTTAATATTCCGTACAAGGAAATCATGTAGTGTAGGCATCAGATTTTCTTAACTTAAAATGTACTGCGTATTAGTATATAACTCTAAATAAAATTTTCATTCATTTACAACTTCATATTACTTACTTACTCTTTTACTTACCACCAGCTGATTTGCTGCACCCCCTGCTGTATGACTATCAGTATTAGTACTCCATAGATGGAGCATTCTATTTTCGCTAGGCCTAGCTCAAAATCTCTATACAGTGTTAAAATTCGTATAACGGAATTTATAAAGTTAATTCGAAAGATGGGTATTTGTGGCCTGTGGTTATTAAACAGACTTTTTCGAGACTTTAACTGTGCCGAATGAGGATTTTAGCGATGTTTTATGAATTGTGATTCTGAATTTGCAGATAATGTTTACTCCAGTTGGAATTTAAGTTGGATGTAAAAGGTTATTCAGATGCATTTTTATGCTGAACAATATCAACTGGGTATATTAATGTACATCGTATGTGCTGTTCACATATTTTGCAGAGTACCTGTGTAATATTTTCTTGTCACATTCATAGTAGCCACTTCTGTTAATCACTTATTTACGATTCGCTTACAATTCTCTTATATATATTCTGCCTGATAACTGAAGGTGAACACTTGAAGATGGGACTAGAAAATTTTAAGTTCATTATGCCACCACTCAGCCTCTAGATCTGTACTAAGAGCTTTTTTCTTTCTTTTGTTGTTTGTTTTGTTTAATAAAAAAACAAAAAAACTTTAAAACACATTTATTTCTTAATTATTGTTCACTGAACGGGAGTTGGTTTGTTCCCCTTGAAAAGTCAACTCACTTCCGATCAATGGCAATGATTACTTGCATTTAATTTAATTCTTGCTTTTAATTTATTCCTTTTACATTTGAAATTTTGTTATTCATGATTTGATTCCAGTCCCCGTTGAACATTTTTAACAATTTACATTCGGGTTACTTCAAAACATCTTTCGAAATAGAACTTACTAAGTATCGATTCACTCTTTTCAAGATAATTCTACTTTAATTAAATCTTAGGAGATAATATAATCAATATTATTTAATAAAACTTACTTTGCAGCAATTGCGCAAGTAGTAGAATAACTTGATTTTGCACTAAATGAATTTAAGATCATACAACATATATATATAGGGCTAATCTTTGGAATATGGTAACAGGTAGTTTGGCGACATTTTGGTAAGGCGATAAAGGTTACTAGCTAGGACTTTAGCAGTGTGCATGGATAAAGTCAAGAGTGTGCGCAATGCCATTTTTGTGCAATTCTCGGATTTTTTTAAAGTGAAAATAGGTCGACGTGTACATGGATGATATCGTGTATGTGCAGTTCTCAAAAACGCGGCAAGCAGTGGGCGATTCTGCACTTTCTCGCAATTTCGCAACTTATCTTCGTCATGATTAAGCACTTTTGTTCCATAAAAGTTCTAGCATAAGCGTAATTCGGCTAGCAGATTGTTGGAAAAAAATGTTGAGTTAAAAAAAAATGCCTTTACTTTGTGAAAACAAAATGGTCCCCCCCCCAAAAAAAAAAAAACAACTAGCAGGTTGCTGTAGCTGGGTTGGTCGCCAAATGTTCGCCAAAAAATCGCCATGTTACCATAATCCAAAGATTAATCATATATAGATATAGATATAGATATAGATATAGATATAGATATAGATTTTTAGAAAAAGGGAAAGAAAATCTGAAAGCTTTCAGATTTTTATATTATGTCCAAAGGGGCGTTTTTTTAACGTTTTGTGTTTTATCTTATAAGGTATTTCTCCCACTTTCCTAACGTGCCTTCGTGGTGTAGTGGTTCTGCACACTGGGCCGGTATTCCAGAGGTCCGTGGTTCGATTCCCGGCGAAGGCGGTTGCATATTTTTCATCTTTTCTGCTTCCAATTAACCTAATGACCCTACAAGTGGCGCCCGAACTAAAAGGGTTGTGGATAATGATTCTTCGCACCCAAGATTTGGCGGCTAGGTCCCCTAAAACCCTAGTCGCCCTTTAAAAAGGGGAGTATATAAGGTATTTCTTCCACGTCCCTAGCGTGCCTTCGTGGTGTAATGGCAGCACTCTGGGCCGGTATTCCAGAGATCCGTGATTCGATTCCCGGCGAAGGCGGTTGCATATTTTTCATCTTTTCTGCTTCCAATTAACCTAATGACTCTACAAGGATATAAAGTAATTTTTTCGCCCAAAAAAATTATAAAACTGATTTAAAACGAATTCAGAAGAGATTTTTTTTCGTGGCGTCTGTACGTATGCATATACGTAGAGGTCCGTGGTTTGATTCCCGGCGAAGGCTTTGCTAATTTTTCATCTCTTCTGTTTCCAAAAATTACCTATTGTCTCTACAACCTTTACTTACTAAATATCATGTTCTTCGCACTTTAGTAAAATTCATTGCCACAGCTATATCACAAAATGTTTAAAAGAGCATATCTTTAGAATTTTCGATACACAGTCTGGCGTGCTGGAGATAATTTTTTTTTTTTTTTTTTTTTTTTTTTAAATCAGAGTTGCCATTACTTGCTTTGAAATCGTTGAGTTTGTTAATAAAAATTCGTTGAAGTGTTACAAAATATGAAATTAATAATAAAACAAATTCCAAATTCGGGCTTCCAGAAGTGCATATTTGCAGTAGGATAACGTCATTCAAATTTGGACGGCTCTAGGTTCCGTCGTTTT